GTAGCAGTGGAAAAGGTAGGAGTTCCGTCGATGAAATTCAGGCTGCCGGTAATGATGGTTTTCGTTTTTCCTTCCCCGAACATCATCACATTCCACTTGCTCTTCTCCAAAATCACATTCTCCTTATACGTTCCTGCCTTCACCTTTATAATAAATCTAGTCTTGCTCTTATTCGGCACTGCCTTCACCGCCTCCCTGATTGTTTTGTAGTTACCGGATCCGTCCTGTGCCACTATTAAATGTGGAGAAGGGGTCGCTTCCCGCAGCAGCCTCCTGTCGCCGGGGTTAACCCAATCTGGAAAGTCCGACTCTGTTTCTTGTACTCTGAGTAACTTCCTGTGAATTGGGATGTTGAAATCCGCCAGTAGGCTTAAGATTTTAGTGACAATTGCCAGACTATTACTGGCGAATTCGGTGGAATTCTGCATCACCGTTTTTAATTCGTCATGAATCGCCAAGTGCTCTGTCCCGTTCAATTCGTCCAAGGCATCAAAGCAGGTTTCTTGATCGGTAATGGAAGCGCTGAGCCATGTTTTCAAAGCGTCGATCTTCGACGTCGATAGCAGCTTCTCCCCCTCGTCGACTTCCATTGTGGAAACCGACTCATTGAGTCGATCCAGCGCGTCGTCAATCACGGTGGCGCAGACATCCAGCGCAGCCTTGACACGGGTATCCGTGATTTTCCCCTTTAGCTGTTGAGGGTAAACGGAGACCTTCGTGAGCTCGTCGACGACTACGCGGAGAGCCAGCTTGAAGATGACTTCTGGGTCGGTGGTATTCGACGACGCGACGGAGGAAATGCTGGACAAACAAGAGGAAGGGTACGGAGTCACACTGCATACCGTCTTGATTGAGGCGGCCGGAGTCAGCTCAGCGGTTGGCACCGAGGGTGGAGTGGAATTGTTTCTCTTGTGTACAACAAACCCCACGATAGCGCCAATGATGACGGCTGAGAGAAGGATAGAAGAGACGACGAGGATTATGAGACGCCGGCGTGTTTTCCGGCGGAACGCTTGTTCTTCAAGCGGATCTACTTTACCGTAGCCCTTAAAGGAATTGATGGTTTCCATGGCTCTTTTTTTTTTTTTTTTTTGGAGAGTGAGAAAGTGTTATGGGAGTAACTTGTGTGTTTTGGAATTTGGAGCTTTTTGTGGGTGCGTTTTTCCTTTTTATATAGTCGCTAGTGGTGGTGGCCGCTTATAAGAGGGAAACGCGTTTGGTTGGAA